ACATTACTTAGATATTACATGCTGAGATATCGTGGTGATAGCGCATATGCTTGTATACAACGCTCCGCTATGATCTAGATTTTAAAATTTTTGAAAGTACAACTTTCAGTCTAATAAAATGAAATGACTTTATGTCTAACTTTTAATATTCTAAGAATTTTGGAGGAAAATAGTAAGAAGAATATGAAAACAAGTCTTAGGATATTCGGGTATCTTTGTAATCGGGCAGGGGAGAAAAGCAGGTATGAATGCCAAAGGATATTTTGTAACCGGGCGTTATATATTATTCGATTTAATTAAATAATATTAAGATACCTTTCAAGTATTAAATTTATTATTTATCATGGATTCTGGTATTTAATGGGTAGTGATTAGGATAATCGAATACAGATTTGAAAAATAATTATAAATTCAATTAGATATTTGTAGGGTTTGAATATTCAATCAAATAATAGAGTTCTAATTCAGACACTAAAAAAGTCGTTTAAATACTTATCAAATTCTTACACTCTTGCATTTTGTTCAATTTAGGTCTTCTAATTTAGGTCTTCTACTCAAAATTAAAGTAATTTAGTATTTTAATTTTGAGAATTGTTTAAATTTAGTCTCTTCCTTTATCAACATTCAATTTTACTGTTAAAGGAGATGACATCAACTTTGATGTGATATTGACATAACACATTTTGATGATGAGACTTTAATATGATGACATGACATGTCACATGACACTAATATGATGGCATAACAATACTGGCGTAGCATTCATATGTTGACGTGCTGTGCTGGTGCCACATGACAGTTCAAAAAATTTTTTAAAAAAAATTTTATATCATGTCATATAGATTAAATTAAACATAATATATAATACAGAAACTAAATTGAACAAAATTAAAATGTTGAGCGATTAAATTGAAAAAAAATTAAAAAATAAAAATAGTTAAGTAGATAATAAATATACTTACTAATAAGTCAAATATTTAAATATAAAAGATTTATGATGTGAAAAAATATATATAAATATTTTCTTACTTGATTATTTGATTCTAGAATATGTAAATTAGTTTATCTTTTTTGCAAAACTTGAAACTTGATTTATAAGCAAAAATTAAATTTGAATTCTCTTTTCATTAAAAAAATTTAAAATTTATTTGACTTAGTTTTTAACTTGAATTGAACTCAAATTAGCAAAATAGGTTGATTTAGTTACAATTTTCACAATTTACAAATACTCATTTTTTTAGAATTATTCAACTTTTACCCAATTTATCTTGTATTTAAATTTACTCAAAATTTCAAATAAAATGATTTTATTTAAGTTCAAATATTGCAATCAAATTCTATTAAATTTAAATTTAAATTATTAATTTGGATCAACTAAAAATTTATAAATACAAAATAAAAAGGTACAAATATTTACAATTATATTTAATTCTATCAACAATAAATGCAATCTTTAATTCAAAAAATTTCAGCATAAAAATTAAAAGATAAAACTTGAAATATTCAACCAAATAAAAACGTAAAAAATAAATAAAAATTTGAGAGGGTAAAGTGGCTTAGATTCTATGGTGTAATAAGATGTTTGTCATGTCTAAATTAAACAAGTCAAAATGAGAAATTATTTTTATAATTATGGTTAACTTCGTATCTCCTTTCTTCATTTTGTTTAAAAGAAAAAATTAAATTAACTTATGTTACTAATTTAAGTTCAATTCAAGTTAAAACTAAGGCAAATAAATTTTTAATTTTTATACTATTATAAATAGATGAGAAAAAGAATTTATTTACTTTTTTATATTATTTTATTTCAACATAATACAAGTTCTTAATCTAAATTAGGCTTTATATATAAAATTTTTTTCAAAATTTTTATATAGAAAGAGAATTCAAACTTTATTTTTACAAAGAAGATAAATTAATGTATATATTCTAGAACTAAATAATTAAGAAAATATTTTTATATATTTTTTAATATCATAAATCTTTTACATTTAAATATTTGATTTATTAATAAGTATATCTATCATCCATTTAAATATTTATATTTTTCAAATATTTTTTCAATTTAGTTCCTTAATATCTCCATTTTGTTCAATTTAGTCTTTATATTATATTTTTTGTTCAATTTAGTTTTTATGATGTAATATAAATTTAAAAAAAAAATTGACCTATCACGTGGCACCAACACGTTAGTATTACCACGTTATCATATTAGTATCACGTGACACAGTCATATCATCACGTCAATACCACATGACATAGCATGGCATCATGTTGGTGGTATGTCATCAAAATGTGTTACATCAGTATTAACTCATTCCCTTTAATGACAAAAGTGGGTGTCATTAGGAGAAGAGATTAAATTAAAGTAATTATCAAATTTAAGAGATTAAATTACTTTGATTATAAGTACAGAGACTGGATTAAATAAAATATATAAATATAAAGATTTAATAGGCATTTTGACCTTTCAAAAATCATAGATATTCTACCCATGGATACCGAGAAGGTGAGTTGAAGGATTTCTTATATAAAGGCAATGGGTCTCTCCTGGCTTTCCCTGGATAAAGTGGGCTAAGCGGCTCAGGGCTTTTGTCCATGATGAAGTCCTCAAACCAACCCAATTAAACGAGCCCATTCTTTTTAATTTCAAAACTAGGTCCAGATTGATATAGTAAAGTTTATGATTATTTGTTACATTTTTAGTTTTATCTTAATTATTAATTTCATTTCTTTTAACTCCTTTTTACCTACAAGTATCATTAGACTTGATTTCTAACTTAAATCGTAAACATACAACTCTTCAATCAATCATGCAAAAATGTTAACACATCAACACTACTGAAAAGGAAAACAATTCTTTTAGACTTTAATTTGTATTCAATTCTTTCTCACATGCAATATGAATTAAAAGGCTTCAAGTTTGTATACTTTTTACTAATAAAAAACAATTAATACTTTTTATGCAATTAATTACTATTCATTTGAACTTTTGAATACTTTTTACTCTATTGTTTTTATCAAAGAGATTGACTTTAATATGTCTACTCTTATTTAATTTATAATTAATTATAGATTACTCTTTTTCCTCCCAACAACCACTTGAAATAGAGATAAACCATTACTTTGATGTGAAGAAATAACTACTTAATTGATGAGTTGGAGTTACTGTACATGCATGTATTATCAACAAATGCATGCATATGCACACATGGGGAAACATAAACCAAATGGTTAGATTAGTCTTGGGTCTAAATGTATTTTATACAAGGGTCAGAAGAAAATATTGATACATTGCACTTTTTACAACGAATCATATAAAAGGGGTATATAATGTAAGACAAACTTAGAATAATTAAGGGATTGTCAAAATAAACCAATCCAATGCCATTCCATGTTCTTGTTTTTACTTGTTATTATATTCCTGCATATGCTCATCAAAAAACTCTCACATGATTTGGCATCAATCCCTAACTATAATAAGTTGAGTTCATCAATCCACCTTTCCATACATAGCATATACTATTCAGTTAACCCTTTTTTTGTATACATAAATATAAAAGAGAAATGACATATATGCCAATCATTTTGCCTCATTTCCTATAACAAAGCCAAGGTATTTGTGCATGCTTGGGGTGTTGCTTTTCCTTTTAATGTACGTATCAAGATCATAAAGCTTCCCAATTTCCCTGTTTTTTCATTAAAGCTATATGATTCGGTGGCTTTCTGCCTTTCCACAAACCACCCGAATCTTCAATTAAAGTGTCACCATAATTTAATTTCAAGATTTTAATTTTAGTCAACCAAACTAAGACATCGCTATTTTAAGTAATTACTATGGATTTATATGCTATGTAAATTGCGTATTTTATATGCACAACTTTATATTTTGATATAAAGTAATGCTAAATAAACAAACATGATTTAACAGCTAATAAAGTTTAAACTAAAGAATCGAAAAAGGCATCTTGCGAAAAGAATAAAAGAAAAGAGTACGGGGGAACAAATGCATGTAGCAATTTACAACTTACATGAAATTAATTAATTTTTATAAGATTCTTGTTGTTTATATTAAGCTTTTTGTTTGATAAGATTTTTGGTATTTATATTAATTAATTTACAATTATAAAATCAGCGTCGGACCAAAAACATTGCACGGTGAAGCCGCGTGCGGCAACCGGTTTTGCCTTTTGGCTTGTGAGGGAGGAGTTTGAAATTTCGTCCTCGTTTTTTCAGAATAAAATAAAACAAAAAAAAAAGGAAATGATATACGGTGAATCGAAAAGAGACACGTCGCCGACACTCCAGCATCCGGCACATGCTTGTCGGAGATTCATTTCTTGCATTGACTTGCAGGTTCTGACATCGGGGTCCCACTTCATCTTTCGTTTAACCTTCTGACCAAGCTTCTTGACACTTCTAGATGGAGAAAAACCGATGGGTCAACCCCTAATGTTAATGTTTGAGAATATTAGGAAATAACTCATATCTTAAAATCAGTGGAGAAAAGGAGAGAGAATACCCGAATCTTTTGCTAATAATAATTGAGGTTTTGGATTTGAATTTATTTAGATTACCAAATAAATTCATTTTTGTTGAACCTTTTACCTTCAACAACTTAATAAATTTTTTTCTATTGAGACAGATAGTATTTTAATTTATTTTTTTAAATAGAAAAATGTATACATTTATTGTTTTAAAAATGTTTCTACGTGTTAATTTAACATTATTCATTGTTTTTGTTCTTTAAAATTAAATAGTACTAAATTAAAACGAACTTGTTTTAAGAAAAAGTTATGAGACGTAGATATTACATAAATATTACGTTTGTATGACTCAGAGCAGCGGTGTATTGAAGCCACCGCAAATTCAAGGTTCAAAAATTAAAAAATTATTATTATTTTTATTATTATTATTATAGATTTATAGTGCTCAAAAAGAAGAAACAACAGTGTCAAATTTCAGGCAAAAACTTTTTCTGTTTACTGGTAAGCACTTTTGACGAAAATTTCAAACTTGTTTCACGCACGAGAAGGGGATGGTCTAATTTTTTGAAAAAAACTTTGATTTGATTGAATGAACCGACAAGGTGGCTCAAAATTCCATGCTGCTTACGTAACTACATGCACCAATCCCAAACCCGTCGGTTGAAATCCCTACGTGTTTCCTCTCCATTGGGTGAAACATCAAGCTTTGTGCACCTTTGGTTCAACCTTTTTCAGATAAAGCCGTAAACCCCTGAGCTTTCTACACGTTATACTCGAAAGAGAGCAAACATTCAGGAGTTCGCTTTGATGCGAAACACAACCGTTAAAGAAATATGTCATTGGAAGAAACACCGGGCTCACCGGAGAGTGACGTCACCAGCATGAGTTTTGAGGATACGGAGCTGACTTTGGGATTGCCAGGGGAGGGACGATCGCCGGCTGTTATTTCCGGTGTTAAGTGCTCTGCAAAACGTGGGTTCATTGAGACCGTTGATCTTAAACTCGGGAGCTGTAGCAGCACGCCAAGTGGACGTGGTGACGCGCATGTTAATGAAGCCGGTGCCGGAAAACCTCCTCCTGCAAAGTAAGACTGGCTTCTCCCTTTGTTCTTTTAAACTGCTCTTATCATCCCGGAAATGATATTTATTTCTTCAATTTTATATGATGCTAAATATGTTGTAAATATTACCAATTCTTTTTTAACATAGAAGAATAGTATCAGCTCTAAGAGGGGAAAGAAAAGCTAAAATTATAGAATTACAGCATCTGAATTATTCTTTTGCTTGTAAATATATAGCTAATAATAAAAGCTGTGAAAGTGATCAAAATTTTCATTTTGTGACATATATATATATATATATATAGAGTATTTTTTTGTTAATTTTTCAACTTAGAGTTATATTAACGTATAATATATATATGTGATATATATAGAAGAGGAAAGTGAGATTTTGTTAGGAACCGCAGTTTCTCTCTACCCTTTTCTTGTATAGTTTAAATCACATGTATTGTAAATAAAAGAAGTATATGATCTATATGATTGATTTTTATGATATTTCTATATGGCTCCAAAGGGCACAAGTTATCGGTTGGCCACCGGTGAGATCATGTAGAAAGAAGGCTATTAATGACAGCTGCAAGTATGTGAAGGTGGCCGTGGATGGAGCACCCTATCTCCGCAAAGCAAACCTAGGAGTTTACTCCAATTACCACGACCTGATGAAAGATTTAGAGAATTTGTTTACTTGCCGCATTATCCGTGAGTATTAATTGATTTCTCTGTCTCTCATCTGCATTCATCTTAATCGTGTTTGATATTTATAAAATTATTATTATTATTACGTCAAATATGATAATTAACAGTTAATTTAATATTTTTAATGCATTTTAATATGAGCGAATATATTACTTAATATATAAAAAAACTTCACAAATGTTGTTAATTAAGACACTCATTCTGCAAAATTCATTTTCAAAGGTATATAAACCTTCTCATCAGCATTACCTTGCTATAATCAAAGGTTAGTCCAACAATGATATATGTATATTAATTGTGGGATCGAAATGGTGGTTTAGGTAAAGCAGATAGGGAGGAAAGCAAGGTTATGGATGCGGTGAAGGGAATGGAGTACGTGCCAACTTATGAAGACAAAGACGGTGACTGGATGTTAGTTGGAGATGTTCCTTGGAAGTAAGTTTTGATTCTCACACACATATTTGGTTTTCTTTTAGTACTTCATAGACACAACATTCACCTCTTTTGATATTTCTGTCTCTTTGTTGTTTGTAGCCACATTTATAATTTGAAAATATATATTCCCTCATATCATTTTGCAAACCCTTAAGTAGCTAGCTGTCTATAATTAACGGTTAATATAACTAATTAGAGTTCTGAGAAATTAATTTCCCATGTGCATTGGGAGATTATATTGGCACTGGGTTTATTTTTCCTGTCTCACCAAAATTATATCATGAAATGGCAGCTTCTACAAAATACCTAAGTAATATTTCCTTATTTATAACAGGATGTTCATAGAATCTTGCAAGCGTATTCGTTTGATGAAAAGCTCAGAGGCTGCTGTTTTAGGTAACGTATATATGATTGATCCTCACATTAAATATTACATTCTAATAATTAATCTGCTTTGTTTAAATCTTCACCTTACGTTTTCTTCATTTTTTTAATTGAAACTTTGTATTCATGCAGCACCAAAAGCTTCTCTAAAATGCTCAGGCACATGTTGAGTCAGATAAATCAGATGTTTCTTTGAATGTTGTATCGTGTGAAGAGAAACGAGCCTCAATAATCAGAGAAAACATCTTACTTCGTACTATCTTTTGTTTCTGTTCTTTTTTTTTTCACTTTCCCTTTGCTGCTTTCCTCTTAACTCGGTGACCCAGCTTGTAATTATGTTAGACTAGTGCGGGTTAATGCCCTCCAACAATAAATCCAGTTTCTGCCCTCTCTCTCTAACCATTAAAATTGTGTTAATAAGCAGAAATTTGACAAAGCAGGGTCAAAAGAGATAGCAACGGCAGTCTTAATTGACCAGATGTTGTACTTGTCTTGTATCTTGAGTGCAGCAGGCACTTTATAATAAAAGCAATTACCCCTTATCAAGGACCTTTTGCTTTTCTGATTCATTTTCTAGTTTAATTGATTGCAAAAGTAGGACATGCATAAAAGTATATTAAAAATAAAATATATAGATGTGCATCGGAGCTGATGATGCCCTACCCACTTGAGTCTAAATTCCTACAATTTTGGTCATTTTCCTAATTGTGTAGTATGTTTTTGGACCTTGTAGTATTGCATATAATTCATAAATTTCATCTTGGTTTCAACTGTTTGATGGTCTATTGAACCATACACACGTTATATATATTGTCTATTGACCAGTTTCTTTGATTGCCATGGAATTGTTTTGCTTGACTTCCAGTTTCCAAAGAGATGTTCAAAATGAAGAGAATGAAACGTTTAATTCGTTTCCATGAACCTATCTTCCTTTTTTAAACTATGGTCCGATTCTACGAACCTTTTCGTAGTGTACGCTAGAGATTCTGTTGCCTAGCTACGAATGGAGGATATAAAAGAGTTAAAAGAGTCCAGAGTTACTGCTTAACAATGCCTTTATGCTGTGTTTCCCCATTAGATAATAATGTCCTAAAAATCGTAACAAATAATAGAACCACGCCTGACACTGTTGAATTTTTGGTACAATTTGGTACTGTTTTGCATTATCACTTTCAAGTAAAAACCCTTTATTTTTTTTGTTTTGTTTTGTTTTGTTTTGTTTTCGACTGACAATGCTCACTGCTGCCCCTACTGCAATTCACAGGCTTTGTTTTTCCAAAGAGTAAAGCTTACGAAATAGGCACTGTCAATTTTTGAGGTGACACACTTTCTTTTAGTAGAAAAGATAATGATTTACTTACTGTTGTTCCATCTCAATCTCAATCTCATTCATAACAGTAACATTTTAATTGGTATGTCATTGTTCATATCACAAACCTTCTATTACCAAAATTCATTATCTAAGTGAGCATTATGTAGCCAATAAGCATGAATAGAAAGGGCAGTATTTATTTATTTATTTATATTTGGATCATGAGGAATTTTGGGGGAATGATAAAATGTTTTAGGAACCCTTTTTTTTATTTTTGGAATAATTGCTTTGATTAGAAAAATAAAATCGTTTTTATTGCATATTTATGAAAGTAGGAGGACAAATATGCAAGTGGGTGAGGTACAATGTACCTTCCTAGGATTCCATGGTCGAAATGGCAAAAAGCAAAAATTATTATGTTGTTGAAGCGCAAAAACTCTGTGAGCTCTATTATTGCAAGCAGCTGAGAGCAAGCCTAATGTCCAAAACATTATCTTTCTTTCTTTTCACTATTGCTCATGCTTATACTTTATTAATTACATGATTGAAAGTTGAAAGGAATTTAATGGAGGTGTATTTTTATCCTATAATTTACCCTGTAAGTTAAATGTGAAAGAGAGTAACTTCAACTTACATCCTAAAAACAATTTAGCAGCTGATGATTACATGATTGAAAGTAATTCTTTTTCTTACTAAATTCCTTTCATTAGCTAAAGAAAATCTTGAAATTTATCCAAGAAAAGAGATTCAAATAAAGACTTGGAAAGGTGCCACTAAATGATGAGTGCTGATTAAAGTTTTCCAAAGTTTTACCGACGAGTGATTGAAAAAAATGAAAAGAAAGAAGGTAGAAACCGATACTCAAAGAGATGACCATGATTGAGTTAAACACAGGGTCCCAAGCTTAATCATTAATTATTATTATACTAATAATACCCTATTTAATTTTTTTGTTTAACCATATGTCCTTGGTGGTGGGATGACTGGTGCCTCCAATTTTCTCAGAAAATGCCACACCTATCATTCTCTTCAATCGAGGAACTCAACTGTTCATCTTTCATGGAGATCCAACACCAGCAAACTACTCTATTTTTTCACTTTCAAACTCAAACTCCAACCCAATTCCTTCCCTGACCCTGAAACTAATGAAAAAGCAAAATGCTGTCTTTATCTAAAGTCTAAACCATTTTGAGAGTATTTCCTTTTCACTTCTTTGTTAAAAACTACCTCTTTTTATTTTTCTTGTTCTCTTCCAACTCCCAATCTTTTTGACAGCTCAACAATTACAGGTTTTCTCTCTTTTGCTTTTATGTCTTTATTCTTCGCTTAACTGCATGGTTGGTTTATTTCTTGGTCTTCTTGGGTCAAAATATTTAGCTAAATTTGTATGCTTGATGATGACATTTTTGTGTTGGTACTTTCTGCCTTGTGGTAGTTTATAGTTTTGTCAGTTAAAAAGTTGCTATTTTTTTTGGAAAAATGAGATCTGGGTTTTTGTCCATTCGTCGTATGCTTGTGATTTGGTTCTAGATCTTTGGTGATTTACTCTCTTGGTCACTTTATTTTACCAGATCTGAAGTTTTATGCTATGGTCATCCTTTTATGGAACTTAGTTCTATCTTTTCTTTGACAATTTATTGCAATATTGCTGCTGTTAGCCCCCTGTTTCTTTCTAAAATTTACGACTTTCTTTCTGGGGAATTTTTCGTTTGAAGTTTTCTGGTATTAGAGTGAGTGCTTTAGCCTGCTTTAGTTTGCTATCTCTGAAGAACAATGCTAGTGGCAGTTTAAGCAGTGAACTCTGATTTTGGGGTAATTGCTTTACTGAATTTTCTTCATGTTTTCATTTTTGTCATCAGTTTCTCTGGATGAAAGCTAAATTCTAGTATCTAATAGTTGTTAGATGATCTAGCTTGGATTGCTATGGTAGATCGGAACGCTAAATTCTAGTATCTGATAGTTGTTATATTATCTAACTTAGATTGCTATGCTAGATCGAAATTTTCTAAGTTTACACTTTTAAGGAAATGATATTCCAAGACTAGTCACTTTTGAGAATTAAGCATTCATAGTAGCAAGAATCTGTCTAATTCTTGCAGAAGGAATAGGTCACCTTTAAGCAGGGTTTTTTTTTTTCTTCAAGAAATCCAATTATATAAATATGAGGCTGTCTTTGGTATGATAATTCCTGGAGTTAAGAGCAGATGCCACTTTTTCATGGCATTTCGACTTTTCCTCAATATGTTGTTTGCTGCATTCACACTGATTGAAATATTAAAGTGAATCCATTTCTTGCTAAATTGTTATTTTGATACTGTATAAATTCTTGGTGCTCTTAATATTTTTTCTAGCTTATTGCTGCCATCCCTATTTCACTTGCAATTTTGAATTTATACATTGATTGAATCACTGTAAGTCTGTAACTATTATAACTGTGATTCAGGCTGTTTGTCTTGCTGGAAGTTGCTTTGTCTCCATCATGCTCAAACAAATTCTAAGCAAACTTCCACGGAAGTCACAAAAATCTGATTCATTAGATTCAGCTGGAATTGATTCTGGCAATCAGACTTCTAATTCAGGCAATGGAGTTCAATGTACAAATATTGGGAATAGTATATCAAGTCGATTAAGTGTTGTTAAACGGGTGTCCTCAGCTGTTTTTCCTGCTAGCATCATGGCTGGAGTGGAGGCAGTGGAGCCCAATCTATCTTTCAAGGATGTTTCTAATCCACAGAAGCAGAACCTGTTTATCAGTAAATTGAATCTGTGTTGTGAGGTTTCTGATTTCAGTGATCCAGATAAATCTAATGCTGAGCAGGATCTTAAACGTCAAACATTGATAGAGCTTGTTGATTTTGTTTCTTCGGGTTCTGCAAAGTTCAATGAACCAGCAACTGCCGCAATGTGTAAAATGTGTGCCATTAACCTGTTCAGAGTTTTTCCACCTAAATATCGCTCTAATAGCACTAGTGGTGAAGCAGAAGATGAAGAACCAATGTTTGATCCTGCCTGGTCAAATTTGCAACTTGTATATGATCTACTTGTTCGGTTTATCAGTTATAGCTCTCTAGATGCAAAGGTGGCAAAAAAGTATGTAGATCATTCTTTTATTTTGAGATTACTTGACCTCTTTGAATCTGAGGACCCCCGGGAAAGAGACTGTTTGAAAACAATTCTCCATAGGATTTATGGAAAATTCATGGTGCACAGGCCCTTTGTTCGCAAAGCTGTTAGCAATATCATCTATCGTTTTGTTTTTGAAACTGAAAGGCATAATGGTATAGCAGAGCTCTTGGAGATTTTTGGGAGTATTATCAGTGGGTTTGCTATTCCATTGAAGGAGGAGCACAAGATGTTCTTGTGGAGAGCCCTTATTCCTCTACACAAACCAAAATCAGTGGGTGTTTATCATCAGCAATTAACATACTGTGTTGTACAGTTTATAGACAAGGATCCCAAGTTAGCTAATAGTGTGATAAAGGGACTGTTAAAGTACTGGCCAGTTACTAATAGCCAGAAGGAGTTGATGTTTATAAGTGAGTTAGAAGAGATTTTGGAGATGACCAGCATGGCCGAGTTCCAAAAGATCATGGTTCCACTGTTTCGGCGTATTGCATGCTGCTTAAACAGCTTCCACTACCAGGTATATTTTCCTCTTCCAATCACTGCAAGAAAAATGTTTGCTTTCGACAGGATCATTATCAATAATGTCGTCGTTTGGTTGATTGAGAACCTCATGTTATGTCTACTTTTGGTTTTCCACGTTTCTTACTTTTCAACTGAAAGAGCTTGAAATTTGGGAATAACTTGTATATCCTATAGTTTGTGAAAGTCATCTTTTGACCATGTAAACTGTTTAAAGTTTAAAAAGCTGATGTAGCATTGAATTCGAACTATGGTGACCATATATCTTCATTAGCTAAAAATTATAGCAGTACACGACTTTAGTTTTGTGGATGTGTTCTTATTTAAACTGACTCATGATACCCCCCATGCCCGACGCCCTTAGGGAGTAGTATATCTTCTCTTTAAGGGAAAGAGGCAAATTTTGCAGACATGAAATTTCCATATACTGAACTGTATGTTACAATTTTAGTTACAGAAATTGGATGCCATTTTTTTGATGTCAGCATTTCTCTTTGCATATTGATTAGTCTCCTACACACTTGATGAACAATGTTTATTGACGAAAGGAATTAATTAAATGGTGATTGGATGTCATGCAGCCTAATGGCAATGTGAAATTGTTTTCACCTTTTCTCTTTCCACCTATTTTCAGGTTGCTGAGCGAGCCCACTTGGTATGGAACAATGAGCACATCCTCAATCTTATTACACATAATCGCCAGGTGATTTTTCCTCTTATATTTCCAGCCCTTGAGCGGAATTCCCAGAATCATTGGAACCAAGCGGTGCTTAATTTGACACAAAATATAAGAAAAATGTTCTGTGAGATGGATGAAGAGCTTGTGCTTACCTGCCAGCGTAAGTTGGAGGAAGAAAACTCTCGATTGAGTGAGGCAGCTGAGAAGAGGAAACTAACATGGGAACGCCTGGAAAGTGCTGCTGGTTTCCAACCTGCAGCTGCTAACATGATACCTCCTGTGAAACCAGCTGCATGCCCTGTTGCCTGTTAATTATCCGAGTAACTGTGTTTGGAAAAGAAAAGAAATATACATATATAAATATCAAGCTGCTCTAATTGCAGCGTGGGATGTTGCTTCTCGAATTTGGTCAAGTTTGTGATTCAGTAGGGTTTGTATCTCATCACCAAAAAATGGAAGCGGTTTGTATCTAAAGCTAAAATTGCTGTACTAAAATTATTAGTGATGCTACTGCCTTAAGATTCAGAGGCATTGAGTTGTTGGGTTGCAAGAGCCAGTTTGCTTGCAAGTATATGTATCGGCACCTCTTGTATCGATTATGGGCTGCTTTTATCTGTCCGTATTTTGTCTATACATGATTTATAGCTTTGCTCTATGCTTCCATGCACAAATGACTTCAGCATTTGAACCAACAATACATCCTGAGAGCAATATAAGAAGTTTGTTGCGTTGATGGGAAAGCAAATGCATCAGAGTACAAGTGGGTATTGAAACTTGACTAGGATGAAATGTCCCTGAGAGATTTATAAATGACTTGAAGGTTGTATACAAGTTTAAACCAACAATTTAGAGATTTGTAAATATTTCTTGCTATCATTGGTGCACCAGCTGATGCTTGTACCCTTACTTGCATAATTGTTTTCTTCAACTTGATTCAGGATTTTGTGATCGACAAGCCCAACAAAAAACTGGGTCATGTATTTAGGAATGTTCTTTAGGCCTGAATAGGTGAAGTCTTCTGGTTTGTTCCTGAGGCCCGACTGAAATGGAAACCTTATCCAAGAAGAGTTCAAAATTTGGACTGGACCATTCGATCACTTCCAATGCTATCGTGCACATGGATATGGACCACGACTCCCAATGGTTAGTTCTTTTCACATACTTGTGCTGATTAGTAAGAGACCAACAAGAATTAAGTAAATTTATCATTCTTTCCTGTAAACATATTTAAATCCAAACTAGGAAAACTTATTTGATGATATTAGTATCATTCTACCAGTTTGAGAAGTCCAGAGGGGCTAATATATACCTCCTCATTTCTTTTGGCTCTGTCCTGACACTAGGTTCAAAAAATAAACAAACAAAACTAATTTTGGAGTTGTGGCCAAGATGTTTATAGACAACCTTGTTAGTTTAAACTCGGTTGTTTAACAAGCTGCCCTAGCGATGGCATCTTGATCTTGTCAACGTCAATTGTGGTCGCAAGCAACTGTTGATATCACCACTACTGTTTGCACTTAATCATTACTCCCTCACTATGTTGGAAGAGAAGAGTGCCCAACCACAGGTCCACATCCACCCCTCGAAACCCATTGAGCCAATCATCTTTCAGGAAAATGGAACACCGAAAAAGAGCTTGCTAGCTAGTGACCTTAGCAAATTGAACCGTGTGAAGTTTGAAACTTTGTCCGATTATATTTCCCTCTTTTCTTTTTTCTTTTTGGCAAAGTGTAGTATCCAAAAGCAAATCAGGGCATCTCCACACTTGTCCATAAGCTCTATAAAAACCTACCATCTGGCTTGCTTCTGTGCACAATATCTTCTCCTGGCTGCATTAATTCCCTTGTTCAGCTTTCCTTGACCTCTCTTTCTGTACATATTTCAGGCACATCTTCTGGGAGAGAACTAAGAAAATGTCACTCTGGCAGCATATTCGGAGCCGCCACGAGGAAAAAGGCGTTATCTACGCTATGTATGTATAACTATATATATGTATATATAATGTTTTTAGCATTGAAGATATTTAATTATTTTGTGTTATGTCTTAATTATTTGAAATAATTTGATATAATAGTGTCTTATATTCTCTTCCGGGATGCAGCTTGTTTACATGTTGTTGCTGTTTCTGCTGCTACGAGACTCTTGAGTTCATCTTGGACCATGGGACGCGTTTCTTGCCTCTCCTTTAAGCCAATGTTCTCCCTACACTTTGTTTTTGCTTTTGGGAAGATGACCTGATCTTATTGTTATCTAATAATGTGAGTGTAAGGAGAAATAATGCATGTAGTTGAGTTTAATTTGATGGTCAAAAGAGTCGACTTAAGATGAGACATGATCACGTCGTAAGTCTGATTTTCTTTAGCACAAAAGATCCCGAGTACGGCTTGACAAGATAATGTAATAACTCGGAGTTTATCCTAAATGGAGGCTGTTTACCAAAAAACTCTAATAATGTCAGTTTGACTCTGGTTTACATTTTCTGTTGAAATACGGACAGATGGTGTCACTTTTGCATGTTGCGAGTTGTACCCTTAGATTAATGTGATTCAGAAATGGATGATCGATCTGGATTGGGGTGACTTCACAACTCTTCTCCTCTCTAGTCTATTTCTTCCATCCTGTAATTGTTGCATTTCTTCCAAGGCATAACCAAAGGATTATTACCAAGTCTATATCTGCTGGGGATGACCTTATCTAACTTGATATATACTCAATTAAACAATGATAAGATCGCACCAACTTCACAAGTTACGTTAAGAGACTAATTAGACATTCGGGGTTGTTATTGTAGCAGGCGTGAAAGCAACAATCCTGAGAAATCTTGGGTGAAATCATACCACTGAAGTTAAATTAAGAACCATGTGTTCTTCAACATTAGCTCATTAACTATACAGTATATATCATATTAAGTTATTTTGATTGTAAAGAAGCTCTTTCGTCCTGGTTTTTCCAACACCCTGTAAATGGTCAGGAATTTCATAATGTTGTAAAGCACATTTTCTTGTGCAATAATCATCGCACGCTAGATGCTTTTTGATCCTTTTTCTTTTTTGTCCCAAGAACAAAAATCTCTTTAATTCCTCTATTAGTTCTTTCTGTTGTATAATGTCCTTTGATTATGTTCAACGCATGCATTCACTCCACACAGTGCAGAACCCTCTCCACCTAAAAAACCATTAACTCACCTAACCTTCAAACCATGCAAGACAAATTTGTTGATGCTAACGCGGGGTGCCGGAATCAAATGTGAAGGCCATAATATGTCGTAATAAATTAATATATTGATTATTGGCAAAATATAGATATTTCCAACAAAAATAACAATAAAGCAAAGTTTGAGCATGGGGCGGTAACTATTGTAAGTGAAAAACGTCGAGCTGTATGATAGCTGACGTTTCCGTCTGTCTCCGGTGAAGTTCAGTCCAGGAATATTGATCAAACTAAATCAAGGTCATACACGTGTTATTAGCAAGGTAAAGCTTTTGACAGACGAGAAGCTTCCTTTAAGTTTCCTCGTTGTGTCTTCTTGTGCACCTTTTTGCATTGTTAAGGTTCTTCCTCTTCACATTTCTCAACAGACCCTTAAATTTGAACTACTTCTAGACACAGTTTCTGGGTAGACAAACTTAGAGAGAAAAATGTATGCACCACCAGGTTATCAAGTTATTTCATACCATCACCATGTCCGAAGGCGCCGTGAGGAAAAGGGCTGTCTTTATGCTTGGTTAGTGTACTACAAGTTTAATCTTCAACATTTTTGCACAGAAATTCAGCTATATATTCCAAGTTTGATTCAGAATTTGTTTTTCGTTTATCCTTTTTGGGGATGCAGTTTGTTCTCGTTGTGTTGCTGTTTCTGTTGCTTCGAGACTTGCGAGTGTTGCTTGGAGTTTCTTTGCTGTTTGATGCCTTAACTATGAGGTATATATAAGCCATCAAATTGGTTCTAGAATCCAGCACATCCTATATAGGCTATAGTTATTTGTTCTCCAAATGATCGAGACTTGTATGAAAAATCTATTATAGTATTTCTAATTGCTATGTCACTGCTTCCTTGGTATCTATCAGGATACACACGCGTATGTGTATCAAGATAATGCTCGTCTGAAAGATTTAGGTAATGGGATTCAAATTCTCAATCAAAGCATCTGGCAAGCCATGTTTCCATATTTAATAGGCGCGGTCCGTATAGGAGTAGTGGGTAGGGACCAGTACCAACCTAGGATGACACACTTTGATATGTTATTCGTAGGAAAAGAGTGTCCACTTTAAAAAAAGTTGTGGCAGTTGATATTTGGGGAGTCATAAGACCCCAACATCCAAGTAATAAGTGGTAAGAAGTCACTTTTTGGAGTCCACACACTTATCCAGGTGTCTCTCCAGTCTCCAATTAATGACTGAACATTGTAGCAACGATCGAATGCCACTGGAATCTGAGAAAAGAAGTGAAATTGCACGGGCCAAGCACAAGATAAGATTAAGGGGATGAGCCTGGGGACAATCATGGCTGGCTGTTTGCGCCCCGATAATGTGAAGTTGATATATCTATTCACCAGTATTAATTGTTATCAATGCAAACAAATTCTGTGTCTTCGACCTAATGAATAACGTGAGATAATAAGCAAAATCCACCCCAAAAAGAAATTTATCAGCCATCACCATAAAGAAAAATGGAAATTGAAAAAGGATCAACATAGCCTATTGAGCTGTATGATTTGACATTTCATTATTTCCCATTTCTGGGATGCAGATGTTCACTTTTATGTTGGTGTTTTCTGTCGCTAAGACACTCGAGTTTCCTTTGGAGAATGCTTAGCTTTTTTCATCCATCAATTTTAAGTTCATCTTTTCAATTCATGTACAATACCCTTAATGAAGGACTATGACGGCTACTTCCCCAGAGCGACCCTTATTTGACACCAAACCTTCAGGCAGAATTGGGCAATTGGATACTGTCAGTGGTATTAAGAAGTTAAGACTTTCAGAAGCATAGCACAAAATGAAGCTGCAAGAAATCGCTCCAAGAGGAAGCACCACTCATTCTGCATTATTATTTCAACCGAGCCAGTCAAGCAGTATGGTTTGAAGAACAAATGAAGTTCCTTTTCCCCATGTCGATTCCATCAAATATGAAGTTCATCATCTTATTGCGATACATTTTCTAGCATTTGTTAAACAATCTTACGAGAGTGTACAGTCTGAACTGCCTAAAAAGGGTCGCCTTATGAAGAATTTTTGTATGGACTCAGAAAATGTACACACACGCAATTGAAGTCAGCACTGCGGTCAGTAGTACTGAGACAAGGTTCACAGCATTGTTGTCCAGAATGCTGAGACCTGAAATCTTCTTTACTGTTGGTCCAGGTTTTCCGACAACCTGAAGAGAGATTACAAATAAGAAAAAAGGTCATGATGTGGTAAGCACACGTTATGTGGTTCACTTATAATGGCATACCAGGAGCTTGTTTTCCATTTTGAAGTCCCTCCCTGTTTTAAAAATCTTTGGCGTTTAGGTTGAAGTTACCTTATTTCTAACACTGCAGAACCCACTGAATTGCAGGGTTGCTCCCAACAGCGAATCTATGATACTTCCTAAAAGTCCTGCCACTGTAGATAGGGGTATAACCAGTAGCTGCTTCATGGCCATACCAGTTGAACATCTTGTAGTGAAAAATCCAACAAGAACAAATGTCAACCCAATGACACTCCCTGCTGCCAAAGCTGCCAGAAGTCCTGTTTTTGTCACACCTCCATTTGTGCCCCTTCGAACAGGCTGATAACCATTTACTATTCTATTAGTATTACAACAACAAGAAGCAAAGTCTTTTTCTACCATATAAGGTTGGCTACATGTATCAGATTATGCATATAAGATCATATCCTAAGTGATAAATACAGCAAATCCCTTCTAATAGTTTCTCTAATAACCAAGTTGACTTCGTCAATATGAGAATAAAGGTTGTAAACATCATAATAGGCAACCATGTGTTTTGCATACCAACTATAAATGACAGTGAGCAGAATGTTAGGTGGATTGTTGCTTTAATTTAAAAACAAAGACTGGCAGATCCATTCTCTGAAAATAGAGGCTGAGTTGATCTTTAGAAAAACAAGGTATTGTCTAGAAAGTGCTCATTATGTTTGAACCAGACATGGTGGCATGTAGTGTAGTGTGACGAGATAAAATTACCATCCAAAAGAATAAGTTGATATATCAAATGTGGGAAAAGAATATCCACCTTAAAAGTTGTGATCAACCGCGGCTGATCATCACTAAGAACCCCAATCTCCGAGGACCAAGTGTCACCATTGCAGCAGGAATAGTGACCGATTATACCACCAATTAAGGATGTGATAAGAACAGACTCTTTTGAATCTAGGCACTTATCCTCCCCTCCAGTCAGGTTCCAAATAATCACAGACAAAACTGTTGCAACACCACTATTGAATAAAACTTGTATCCTGAAATGAAGAAATTAGGAACACCCTGTCAAAGAAAGTATCAGACGATTCAGTATAACCTTGCTACTCTATATGTATGACAAGTTGTTAGCCGGATTTGTCACTGGATTGAAGTTCAAATCATTCCGCCTGATATTTCCTCTATTTTTCGCATCAAATTAACCACACAAAATTTGAATCTGACCCACCAAAATTAGCTCATTTGATTTTTGGCGAATTCTTTAAGTATCGGCATGTCTAAATTTACAAGCTAGTAGTCTTTCGCTTTAGTGCATAGCATCATAGCGTTAGCAACCCTTTTAAACCCAAAAAGAATTTTCCACCATAGCATTCACACTACCATCCTCCCATCAACATCATTGATTCACAAAACTTAAACCTTTCACTCTGTTCTTCCTTTTGTTTCCCACTTGTTTTCACAACTAATCAAAAAGAAATTTCCTTCTGCTAAATCATTTACTTCTTTTTTTTTTTTTCAAAAAAAAGGAAGGGAATTAATGTTATTACCAGTTTCTTTGACCACCTTCCTTGAAATCAGCATCAACTCGTCGCTTCTTCTCTTCTCCAACTTTGGTGAGCTTCGATGAAGTTAAAAAAGAGGCCAGTAACATTGCTCCAAACCTGAAAGTTTCAATAACCGATGCCTTTCTTAGCAAACCAAGCAAACAAAGAAAAAAAATAATTACAAAAGGAAAAAAAAAAAAAACAACGAAGGGAGGGACCTGTATCCGACAGCGAAGTGAATTGTCATGACGATAAACCCGGAAAGAGCTCCAGAGAAATCGAGAGACTTTCTTCTGTAGGATCTAATCGATATTAGAAAAGAGATTAACATCGCGATTAACGGTTGGATTAGAGTTTTCTCCATCCTTTTTGCCTTTTTGGGGGAGAATAGATTTGGCGACAGTTACGTTTGAGGAATGAACGGCGTATGTAGCAGATGAATTCCAAATCAAACACCCCAGACGTCGTCCTAACTCCTAACTTCCCTTAAATCGGTATCAATATTAATAATTATTAATGATTTAAAGATTAGCCTACTGTATTGTAGATTTTTTTTCCATATCAGAATCACTGCACCAATAATTAATTACTAATTGTTAATAATTCTGAAGATAACGAATCTTTTTAACCTACTTTTGTTTTTTTGGTGGTCAACAAATTATAGGGACGAGAGTAAATTTGAATTTCCCAACCATGTGATTACCCTCCATCATTTTCAACCAAACAAAGAGTTCCGCCGTCTATGTACGTATTACTTATTAATGATTTTAAGTGTTTTTTTTTTAAAAATTTTCCTTTGAAAATGTCAAAATGATGGAGAATGCTAGTTATACTTACTCATTCTGAATTTTTTATAAAATTAAGAATGCTTTTGATTCTCAACAAATTCTTTTATTTCACAATAAAGTTTATAAATCTTACGATATTACTAACTCTTTTTTAAATTTTTTACCAAAAAAAATATTTTTCACAAATAGTAAATTTGATACTCTTTTTTTTCTAACCATTTCCTTGCAAGACAGTCTTCACCTAATCACCGGCCTCTGTCTTTTTCAGTGCCTCCAAATTGTTCAACACACAGAAATCCAGTTAATGTGTTTGTCGGGTTAAATACAATTAAATGTCATATTCCAAGCCTAATTTTCTTCTTCTAAACATGAAATTAATTTAACGCATTCCATATCCACACTTCCCTAACACGTTTTTTGTATGTTTAACCCCGTGAGTAATATTAAAATGACAGTAACATGGTTAATAATTGCAGACTGTGATTCAACTTATATAGATGATAATATTTATTCCTTCAGTTGAAAGGCTTTATAGAAGGAGATGGACCTAAGTACAAATAATAATATCAAAACTAACCTCTATGTTTTGACTATAATTCTTTCTCTTTGATACAAATCATTTTAATAAACACATTCAATAATATCTAATTCATTTGAGTATTTAACTTATTGATTAATGTATAATTTCCTTATTAAAAAAATATGAATTCAAATCCCCTTCTCTCCGAAAAAATAATAATAATAATAATACCGAAGAAGCTGCCTTAGAGACTTTAGAAAGATCAACTATGAACTATTTTCCAAGTTGCAAGCTTGAATCATCCTTGTCTTCCTTTTTGTGCTTTTTTGGAATAAGATGTGAGGGCATGGCGACTCACGGGCTTTAAAAAAATGATAAATAGAGGCAAAAAGATTAAAAAAGGATAAGCAAAAATGTTGCCTTGTACAAGACGAGTGCAGAGATAATATACAGGTGGACAAAAGGTTAGCCAAACCTCCCTCTACCCCTTCCTCTTCCCCTTCCCC